TGAAGACGGTTCTGCGTTACTACTGATGGGAAAATGGCCTATTCACATTTCCTGTACAAAGTCGACCCTTGAGGAACCAACGCTGTATTAGGGAGAAAACTTTCACTGTTAATACATGTAAAAAGAATGCTCTTTGATACTCTGAAATTTCCCTTTGGGCAGCGACTGCTTTTCACTCTTAATTTTATGAAATACTATATTATAGGGTCTGAACACCCAATCTAAGTTCACCCATTCTTCTTCCAATATTTAAAAAAAATTCATTTTGTAAGGGAATTTGTTTAGTCATCCAGATATATTTCTCCCTGTTTTTTACTATTTAGTTATTCGATGTATTTGTATGTAAATGTGTTCTCTACATTCCTTCTTGTCCTAAAAATGTGATGAAAATGAATTTAAAAAATAAAGTGTATAGAATTTTCATGCAGTCAGACTGTTTTGGGACGTACAGTTCATGAGTTTTAACATGTGGATAAAGTCCTGCAGCCACCGCCGCGGTCAGAAACAGAACCTCTCCGTCATCCCAGAAATTCCCTCACGCAGCTTCTTTGCAATAACACTCATCCCAACCTAACCGTTTGGCAAGCGCTGGTTTTCTCTCCATTTCTATAATTTGCCTTTTCCCAGAATGTGAGACAAATGGGGCCATTCGGGGTTTAACCTTTCGAGAGTGGCCCCTTTCACTCAGCGTGAAGCCTTTGATAGTCATCCAAGGGGTTGCATAGATCCCTGACTTGTCCCTTGTTACTGCTGAGCAGTAAGTAGTCCGTTGTATGGGTGTACCACAGTGAGTTTGTCCATTTACCCTTTGAGGGGTATTTCAGTTGTTTTCAATTTTTGGCAGTTATGAATAAAGATCCTGTAAACATTTGTGTACATATTTTTGTGTGAGCCTAAGTTTTTAATTTCTTTAGATAAGTCCCTAAAAATGGGACTTCTGGGTCCCACGTTAAGTGACTGTGTAACTTTTGTAAGAAACTGCCAAACCACTTATCAGAATGGCAGTATTTTGTGTTCCCACTAACAAGGCCTAAACTTTCAAAAGCTTGCATCCTATTTTAAATGCCCTTGGGTTGGAGCTGGCAAGTTGCGTGTCACAATTCCTTGGGGTTTTGCAGAGATGCCTCTTGACAAAGGGAGATCCTCTAGGTGCCCTGTACCAGCCTCAAAGAGAACTGCCCCAGCTTTTTATGCAGAATTCTGTGTAAGGATGCATCTGGAGAGAAAAGAGGTTTATCCGTGAAGAGTTTAATGACCATTGTAACAGGACAGTGCATCCAGAGCGGGATGCGGACCGCGGGCCTTACCCGCGGAGAGGCTAGGGGGCGCTCCAGGGCTGTGCCCACCGCGAGCGAGGACCGCACCGTGAGAAAGCCCTTCCCTCTTAGCGCGTCTTCATCCTCGGCAGTCCACGTGCCTAGGCCTCCAGGCTGCTGGGTTGGTACCGCTCTCCATCACTCGGTTGTGTCCTCTCTTACAAACAGGCAGCGGCGGCAGGCCCCCTACCCCCGGCCGCCTTCCACCAGCGCTACACGCTACCTAAAAGGAAATAAACACACACCTTTGTTTCTAACATATTATTTCCGTGGTTTTCTTCTCATTTATGACAAGCACCACTCGTTTTGCATTTTTCTTCTGAAATGAATTTATTTTATGGTTTAAAAGTGGGGTCAATTAAAGAAAACTCTTACGTAGTTTATGCCTCATACACAGATCTGGCAAGAACTACGAGGATGTGCTAGAACAACTAACATCTGGGGAGCTCTGAACTAGGGGACCTGGTCATTTAAAAAGACCTCGTAGGGCACCCTTCTGAGCAGTGAAGAGAGCTCTTTGGTAAAGGACGTGACTCTCTCTCACTTTATCTACAATATTTTGGGGGCTTAGAAGTTTATATAATAGCAATTCCCAAGAAGAAGACAGTCTTCCATTGCTCTTTGTTTTTGCAATACTTGTTCTTCAAGTTTCGTCTTCATTCGCTGATCTGACAAGTGTTTCTTAGGCAGGCAGTGGGGACACAGTGGGGAACTGAGCAGGCGAGGGTCCCCTGCCCTCGTGGGGCTGGCTGTCTTCCAGACCTCTCCCCCTTTGAGGCTATTCATGGAAAACGCAGCCTCTGGACAAAATTTAAGTGTGGTGACAAGCGAAGAAGAGGTGAATGATGGTTTTATTTTTATTTTTTACTTTTCCATTGCAGTTCATAGTCAGTATTCTTTTATGTGAGTTTCAGGTGCGCAACATAGTGGTTGGACAGTTATATAATTCAGGAAGTGATTCCCCTGATAATTCTAGTACCCATCTGGCACCAGATGTAGTTTAAATGACATTTCTAAGAAGTTATTTTAATACAGGCCAATGGAGAAATAGTTTTATTTTCCCCATGTCTTTGGAACCGTGTTGATGTGTTGTTTGTCTTCTCCCTGAAGCATTTTTTGAATTTGGGGAATATAACATGTACCTGCAGACCTAGTGAGAAACTGTATGGTTCTTTGAGGTCCCTTTCAACTCTAAGTGCATTGTGTCGGGTAACACAGATGAGGAGCAATACTGGACAGTTGTTACAGTGCCCACGGGTGCCAGGACCTCTCTGACACTGGACATCTTTTACACCAGAGGTCACAAATTGGCAGCTGCCTGAGTTCTGTTCAGCTGTCAGAGGTTTCTAGTTTGGCCCACATGGTATTTAGAAAAATTAAAAAAAATTAGTTGCCAACATTTAAAAACCAGCAATCTCAACATTAAAATAACAAACAAGCAAAAAGAAAAACATGTCATGTCTGTTTTGAAAATTCATGTACCTGGTTCTGCTGAACCAGCTCTGGCGGATGGCAGAGCTGGCTGTTGCTGAGTAGTGGCCACCGTCGTAGACGGAGCATGTGCTCCGCTCAGGTGTTCTCTGCCGAACTCCTTCCTGCGGCCTTCCTGGCCCTTGTGGTTATTTGAATCTGCAGCCCCTGCGTTAGCCATTCGGATCTGGGCTTCAGGCAGGAGAATAACCTGGAAAAACTAAGCTCCACCCGCCCCTGCCCCCATTGTTGGCAGGCTGGAACCATGTTGCCCCGGAAGCTCATGATTGTCCAGCTGGGCGGATGTACTGCTGGGCCCAGAGGCAGCGGCCAGGGCGCTTGTCCTGGGCAGTGCTGGTCAGGTTATCTTGGATCTTTCTCGATGAGATACTATTTCCCTTCGTAATCTCTGTGTCTTCATTTCTTCCTATTCTCCCTTAATCTCTTTGTAGGGTTTTTTGATTGTAAGCAACAGAAGCAGATTCCAGTGAATTTAAACAAAGTGGGACTTGAATGAAAGAGAATATTGAGTAACTCGAGGTATCAAAAGAAAAGAAAATGATCTGGACTTGGAAAGTTCAGGAAACTGGGAATACGTGGAGGACCATACATGGCAGGAACTAAGGAAATTGATAAACTGCCTCCAGATTTTTTCCCATTCTTTGTCATTCTACTTCCATGTCTGAAGTCCTGGAGAAGAGGATTGGGCTGGCCTGGCCCATGTCCATGCTGGGGAGAGCGGGACGCTTTGGCTGACAGCCCCTAATCTTAGACGGCGTGCAATGAAAGACTTCCCCGCGCGGGGTCTGGGTGCTGTTCCAGGAAAGGGGCCAGCGCGTGGATGGAAGGCAGCTGAGCAACAACTCCTCCCGCCCCTTCCTCCCAAGGTGGGGAGGTTCAGTGCACTCCACAAAATGCGGTAGAGGGAGCCGGAAGTGGTATTTCATACAAGTTACACGGGAACCCAATCCTGAGCGTGCCCTTTAAGTAAAGCAGGGAGGCATGGGCCTCTGATAAGGAATACGCTGAGTGACTAGAACAGACAAAGTGACAATTTCATTCCTTTTAGCAACTGCTTGGGTTATAACAGCTCCCAGGAAGCCATGTTCACTGCACACGAGAACGACATCTGTAAGTTCCGAAGGTGGCTGCTCCAGTGCCGTGTGATGAAAAGTTCTGCAGTGAAAACCTGAAAGGCCTTGCTCACTCCAATTTTTAGTACCAATAGGATACTTTTCATTGCCCTTTTAACTTTTTATAGGGTCACTTAAGTTTGCATGTTTATAATACATGCATGCAAAAAGCAGCTGGGGTGAGCTGTAGATAAAATTGAAATGGCCATTTCAAATTGGAGAGTGGACGGAAGGCTGCTTTGAGAGTGAGCGGGCTGTGATGTGCCCTGGACCCCAGCTGATTGGAAGAGCAGCCTCTGGCATTTCCCCACGCTAGGTAGAGGTGTGAGTGTTTTTGTGCTCATCTGTGAGCCTAAGTTTTTAAAGGATCCCAGTCATGACCATAGAATAAGCGATTCTCCCCCAAATTATAAGTCTAAGAGCACAAGAGGCCCTGTGCATACCATTTGAACTACATTATAGATTTTCAAAACTGGAAAGCAACTTATTCATTGAGCTATAATACTTCTTGATTACTGTGCTCTTACTTTTTGATTGCTGTGCTCTTCTTTCTTTGCAAGATCTCGATTTGCAAAAAGCAAGGAAAATAAGTGAACAACGAAATACATTGCCAACGTGGCTGGAAATAGAAACTAATGATTCAAATATGAGAGGCTGCACAGAGAGCCATGGCTGGGTGGCAGGGAACGGGGAGAGAGAAAGTTGGAAGCTGCTTTTTTTTAAAAGGCAAAACACACAACTCACAGTGAAGGGAATGTGAAAATCATTTCTAATAATAGCTCTTGGTAGGCAATTCCCGGGAAAAAAATCATCGGCGCACTGAGAAAATTAGAGCAGAAACACGTAGGATGTTGGTGTGTTACTGAAGGCGATGGAGCTTTGGAGTTTACCTTGTGCCATGTACATTGATTAAATACAAAATATATGCCAGCCATTTTTGACCATCATTTACTGTATTGATTTGTTAGCCAGGGAGCTGTAATAAAAAAGCCATTGATTTACTGTCCTGATTTGCTTATGGGCTTTTTTTTTGTATTATTTTTCACTCTTTCTTTCTCTTTTGGGGGATCATTTCTTCTAGACAAATGCGGTGATTCGTGAAGTTCGAAGAGAGGGCGTCCCCGTGGGACAGAGGATCGAAGCGCTGACCGCCATCCTGGGCTCGCTCAGCACGCGCCAGAGCCTGCGGAGGGAGTGGCAGGCCAGGTCAGTTCTGTGACGGGGGTGCCTGTCCCTAGGAGGCCTGGGCTGCGTTTGGTTCCACCCTTCCTTGCGTCTGGTCTCATCCCTCTCGTTTGAGGGGCCTTGGAGAATAAATAAGCCAGTTTATGAATGCTTTTGGCCAAAGTTAGCTTTTCCTGCCCAAGGGGCCCACATTAATTGTAACGGTCCATGGCGTCCTCTGGATGGGCATGCCATTCAGCCTGAATATGACATTTAGCATAAATGTTAGCACCTGGAGCAGAAGTCCCGGTAAGTACCTGAGGCCCAAGAACCCTTTTCATCAGTGGCCTAAAAGGCCAGCGTGGCGATGTGGGCGGGGCAGCTGTGTGGGTTGCTTGGAAGTTGTCTGTTTATCAACCCCCTTTTAGAATTGACCAGGTTGGAGTTACTTTGGCCCCTGCCTAGTTTCTTTGCGCACAGACTTCCCTGTGGCTACAAAGCTGTTCCTGGTAGAAAGTTTCTACACATCGTCACTTTTTACAGAATCGATGCTTGCATGCTACATATCATGGTATCCTGCTCTCATTTGACAAACAAGTGATGGATGGAAGGCTGGAACGGATTCCGCCACGGGTTAGGGCTAGCCTTCGGGTCTGTAGTTTGTGAAAATTGTTGAAATATCGTCTGTCTCTGAGCAGGAGGGAGAGGAATCGGGAAGATTAGGCTGTATGTTGTCTGAGTCTTACTTGACGCTTAAAAATTCTGTGTGCCTGAGACTCAGGAACATTTATTGATAGCCACAATATTCTCGAAATGAGTTCATGCAACAGAATTTGCAATAATTGATGGCTTTACTAGTAACAGTTATCATAAAAATAGATGTGTGTGAACAAGGCTGAAAATGAGCATTCCAAGGACAGGCGGTAGTACAGAGTATGAGCTATCCCCTGTGATCACGCATTGGAAAGCTGTTTTTTCAAATGCGTGTATTATCTCTAACTTCAGACTTGCTTTGAAACAATCATTTTAAAATTCCCAGTAATATTCTTGCCTTCCCTTCTTGTCTGTTGTGTGGTCAGAGCAAGTGACAATTTCAACTGCAGTCATACATTTGCCATTTAAATTTTAATAATTACATTTTAAATTTTCTTTGTGTAACAATGTAAGTGTGTATAGTCAGTAAAGTATGCACGTTTTATTAAATAACGCAATCGGGGTGGGGACAGCTAAGAGGCTTCTCTCTCTGGGTTTGACCTTTTACATCCTCCCCGCCCCCGCCCCGGTGACTCTCATTAAATGGGAAAAGGAGAGAGAAAGAAACCTTCCCACCACCCCCACACCTCTGGAGACAGCGCAGCTCAGAGACCAAATGCTGGGAAGGGAGGTCTTCTGCTGAGTGCCTTTGGCTTGTTAACAGTGATCTCCTAATACACCCAATCATCTGACGACATGGCCTGTTTAAAAGGAGTCTGGTCTCAGCCTCTCTGGCCCTTCCTGCTAACAATTCAATCAGGGGCTGGAGCCAGGGCTGAAGCCGACGTCGTCTAGCATCTGAAACAAAACTTCTCCAGTCCTTCGTGGGAGGGGAGGAGGGGAGAAAGAGCTGAGCCGCTGACACACTGCAGGCCTCCTGGAAAACCAACCCCCTGAAAGAACATTTCAAGAGGGTGCTGTCTGGAGAGCTCAGAAGGAAAAGTGTCCTCAGAGGATTAAATAGCCCTAATCCTGCCCCCCGCCCCGTCTTCACCCCCATTTGATGTTTCCCATCCCACGACCTAGCTCAAAGACTCATCCATATGATCCGTATAAACAGACTGTTACCACACACCTTTCTTTTCCTCATCAAAGCCGCATCGGGCCGTCTGGGGTCGGCCACGGCCTGGAGTCGCCGCCCGGCCCGCGGTGGTGACAGTTATAAAACACCCACTGCCGCGCTCGCCGAGCGGCCTGTGTTCCAGAGAGCGGCCTGTTGTGCGCTTTGGAATTACACAAGGAAAAATGCGCTTTGACAGAAAATAATTAGCGCTCGCCAAAGGCCAAGCAGTAGGTTGCAGTATTTTACTTTCATCAAAGCTATCAGGGGATCAGTTAGATTAGATAATAGAAATTTTTTCCTCTGAAAGTTAAATACAGATGACTGTAATTACCTTCTATTGCACATTAGAGAGTGCGTTATGAATAGTACGACTTCAAGAAATTTAGGTCAACCGAGACTCCGCAGCTGGCAATAACTTCAGTCCAAGTCGGCTGTAATAAAGGCTTCCCACCTCCCCTCTTCAGCACATTCATTTGTGATAGCAATATCAGGGAGAATTTGAAGTGAAACTTGTGCCTTAGTTTTAAAGTATTTATGGTGGTTATCAGAGGGAAGAGGGGGGAAGGCAGAAGGGCGTATAAAGAAGAAGGCGGGATAAACGGTGCTGGAAGGAGACTTGACCTGGGGTGGTGAACACACAGTACAATATACAGGTGATGGATTATAGACTTGTGTACCCCAAACTATATAATTTTATCAACCAGTGTCACCCCAGTACATTCAATACAAATTTAAAAAAATAGAAAAACAATTTGTGTCTCTGTCAGGCCAGGAGCCAAGCCATTGTTTGGGGACAACTCACTGAAGTCTCTTAAACTGAAAGCATATGTTCCCTGTAATTTAGCTTCTGGAGGAAAGTGTCAATTCTGCATGACTCGGGGTAACCGAGTTTGTCACAGTGTCACACAACCCTGCGATTTCAGAGGCCCGTCGGAGTGCCGTGGGTTCCCTTCGCCAAGCTTGGTAATCCCATAAACAACCCTCTCCAAATAGGCTTATTAGGGCTGTCTGTTCACTTCCCTGGGGTTGAATGATTCCACAGTGCGTCGGGAGCCGCTGTGTGAATGCAGGGTAAGTGTTAACAGAAGCGGTCCAGAATTTCTGGAGAGCCGGCTTTGTTTATACAGTCCGCTCTGCCTGATGGACAGCTTGTTATAGCTTTTCAAGAACTGGGCGAGCCCTCTGCTCTGACCCCTTCTCGACCCCTGCAGCCCAAAGGTCAGCCTGCAGCTAATAAACTCGGAGGGTCTTCGGGTCTACTGTAGGAAAAGGCAGAGAAAGAGCAGCTGCAAGGGCGGGCTGTCCCAGGACAGGCTGCTTGCGGGTCACTCTCTGATAATGAAAATGATTACCGAATTATATGGAAGTTTAACCGCAATAGTGAGTGAGAGCAGGGTGGAGCCCAGCGCATTGGGTTTGATAAATGAACTGTGAAGAGGCCCATCTGGCTCTCAACATCTTTTCTCCCCCTCGCTCCCTACCAAGGGGAAACATTTTAAAATAACAGCAGTACATATAGACTCGATGACCCATGCAAGGAGCTGGAATGGATTAAGATTTAATGGTGTCAGTGGGGGAAATTATCATTTGAAAAGTGCACTAAAGAAAAGGTACAGTTCAGGGCCGGCGCCCGAGCTGTGTTTCTAAATAAAATGGAGTAAAAATCAGCGCCTTTGTTTATCTTCCACAAATCCCTAGCGTCCTCCCTAGATTGCTGACAATTTTGAGGGCGTGTTTGTTCTGGAGTAATCATTCGTGGTCCGGTTGAGGAGAGGCGCGGGCTTCCCTTGCCTCGAACGTGTCAGGATGGGAGTCAAGCGTCTCACTTCTGCCGCTCGCTCCGTTTAGAGAATGTACATCAGTCACGTGTTAGAGCGAATGCTGCACAAAATTTGTGATCCATTTCAACATCTGCCTGCGGAGCATTCTGTGTTCTTTGATACTGAGTACACGTGTGACTCTTGCATACTGTTTTATTTTCACTACAACTTGGCTGTTTTTCTGGAAGAGGAAGGAGCAAGGACACACCATTAATTGAGTAGATACGTTTGTTCCTTGCTTGCTTGCTTCTTCAAAGAAGCATCACAGCGAAGCTAAGGAGTACCAACAATGGGTAGGTCACGAGCTCTATGTTTACTGGCTGTTCATTCGTAAGAGGAATCTGTTTAAAGCTCTCCCCCAGCTTCCTGTGAACTGAGTGTCCTGGTTCCTGACCGGTGACACTGGAGTCCACTGAGCTCTGGATTCCTCGTCAGAGGCAGCTGGCACAGCCTATGCCTGCTTTCCGAAGCAATAATGCTTCTATTTAACAAGCATTGTTGCATGTTTTGTACACCTACCCTGTAGAAAATGCTGCCTGAGAGGATGTGCTCAGCAGCCAACTTAAGAATGTGTCCAGGGTTGGGAATTTACTAAGTTCCTAGAAAGAGGCTGCGGGAGGCCGCGGAAGAGAGCATGGTGGAGCCAAGTTGCTCTAACCCACCGAGGAAAGGAGGTAATCGTAGACGTCTCTGAAGACTAGAATTGCCGTCCTGTTGAAAACCTTTATCTTGAACTACACTGTCTACATAACACAAGCCTCACCCAGACAATAATGATATTTAAAATCGAAGTAAAGAGCTCCTAAACATTATCCCAGGTGAGCGTTCACCTCTCTTGTATCCATGGGGGTTTACGAGTGAGCAGAGATTGAGGTGATGGCCAATACAGAGAGATGAGGGTCTCTTTTAGAATTAACTGTGCTTTTTAACTTTAAAACAATGCCTTTAAATTTATGCTAAGTAAGGTATGAATTAAAAAAATAAGACAAAAACCAGGCGATTAGGGTATTTTAAAATTGAGATGTAATTCACCCTGATCAGCGCAGCTCGGTTGGTTGGGTGTCATCCCACAAAGCGAGAGGCTGCTAGTGTGATTTCCGGTCAGGTCATACGCCTGGGCCGTGGGCCAGGTCCCCTGGGTGGGGGCGTGTGCGGGAGGCAACTCACTTGTGATTCTCTCACACATTGATACTTCTCTCCTTTTCTTTCTTCCTTCCCTTCCCCTTTCTCTGAAAATAAATAAATAAATAAATAAATAAATAAAATCTTGTAAAAAAAGATGTAACTCACATAAAATTTCCTATGACATACACTTAATCATTTTAAAATTTGCAATTAAATGATTCGTTTGGTCCATTCACAACCTGGTCCCACCATCGCCATCACCCAATCCCGGAGCATTTCCG